CCGCCCGCCACGCCCGCGGGGTTGGGTGCCGGAGGAGACCGCGTCTGCTTCAACCTGGGCCGCGAGCTCTATTTCTACCCGGGCTGCTGCCGCAGCGGAAGCCAACGGGTGAGCGGCCTGCATCGTGGTGGCCTCGGTGCTGGCAGAGAGGATAGGGCCCCCTGAGGTGATCCAGAAGTGATAGAAGAGTCCCCGAATGGATGTGGGGTTCTGAGATGGGCATTCTCGATGTGACGGCCATCCCAGGGGGAAGGGTACCCAGAGGTAATGCAGAATCCTAAAAGGTGGTGGGGAGCCGGGGAGGCCCTCCGGGGTGCTGGCCATCGTAGAGGTGATGGAGAATCTTGAGGTCATGCGGGATCCCCAAGTTACGCGTGGGGGTTCTGGAGTGGTATTTTGGAGAGATTCTGAGATGCTATGGGACCCTCCGTGGTTCTGGGTGATAGGAAATCTGCCTATGATGGAGAATCCTGAAATGATGCAGGCTTGAAAGTGATGGAGAACCCAGGGGTGTTGCAAGTCCGGAGGTGTTGCGGGGGGCTGGGGGGATCTTGAGACTTTGGGAGCCCAGAGGTGAGGATGATTGTGGAATTGATGAGGCACTTAGAGGTGATAGAGATCCTGCAGGTATATGAAGTCTTAATGAACACTGGGGTTCTGGATCTCATGAGGGAATGAGATCATTCCTGGAGGGAATGAGAATCTCTGAGCTGATGGGGAGCTGGAGGTGATAAGAGCCCAAAGGGGACATCCTCAGGTGTGATGGCTATTTCTAGAGAGATGTAGGTCCCAGAGGGGATGAGACCCTTGGAGGTTATGATGGTTCCCAAAAGTGATGGAGATCCTGAGAGCCCAGAGGTGGTGAAGGACCAAAAATGTGGGGGACCATGAGGTTTAATGCATCCATGAACTGTGATGGGGGTCCTGAGATTTAGGGACTCCAAAGTAAAGAGAATCCTGGGATGTTGGGTGTTAGAGTCCTGGGGATTTGGGTGACTCTGCATTTTGGGGAGCTTGGAATATTGAGGTGCCAAGATCCAGGGGGAGTTGTTGAGTCTGTGGGCCAGGACTGGAAAGGAATTGGAGCTCAGGGACTGTGGGGACCCCAAGCCTTTATACTGTGGGCAAGGGTGTCCCTAAAGTTAGAGGTGTCAACTTTGGAGGGAGGCACTGTGGTCTCATGTGGGGTGGAGGGGGGGCACCTTCCTGTTTTTTCCTTTACTGGGTCTGTGATTTGGGTCCCCCTTCCTGTCTGTGGTTGCCCACTCACCCATCCACCTACCCACTTCCCTTAGGGATTTAACCCTGCTTCCTTTAGTGGTTTCCCCCAACCTCAACACCCTCTTCCTTCCTCTCAGTGGTAGAAGCTTTTAACTCCTTTTCTCCCACTGCTCAAGTCCATTGACCTCAACAAGCCAATTGACAAGCGGATCTATAAGGGCACCCAGCCCACCTGCCATGACTTCAACCAGTTCACTGCTGCCACAGAGACCATCTCCCTGCTGGTGGGATTCTCAGCTGGCCAGGTGCAGTACCTGGATCTCATCAAGAAGGACACCAGCAAGCTATTCAATGAAGAGGTGATTATGGGCCCCCGGGGCCTAGAACGGCTCCCCCCTCCCATTCACCACCCACACAGTGTTGCCATGAGACTGCAGCTGCCTGGGGAGCAGTGGAGGCCTGAGAGGGGCAGGATACAGGAGAGAGAGGGGATGGGCTGACAGATATATGGCATGGGGTCATGGACAGCAGCTAGTGGGACATCAGCTAATAATGACAGCTGCACCTGCCGTGCTCGGGGCCTCTGGGCTGTTAGCCCTGTGCTGAACACTTTTTACTCCTTGAGTTTTCCTCCATGGGTTAGGGATTGTGGTGCCCATAAGACAACCGAGGCTAGTCTCTAGTTGGGACTTGTTGGAAGCCAGAGCCCTTGATCTTCAAATTCTGGGCCCGTGAGCATTGGATTCAAGTCATTGCTGCACCGTTGACTCACTATATGGTTTTGGGGAGGTGACTGTCCCTCCTGAGCCTCAGTTTTACTTCTCTGAAAAATGGGATTCTCATCCCTGCCTCATGGGACCATTATTACGAAATCGTATGTGGAGATGGCTCTGTCCTGGCTAGACTTGGTGCCAAAGGAACATGCCAAGGAACGACCTTATCCATGGGCGGGGGCTGCTCTTGTCCTCTGGCTTTTTCTCTCTGTTCAGAGGAGGTGTTCCAAATATACAGAATGCATGAATGGCAGAAGGGAGTGAGGGTAACAACAGTGAATGGATTAAAAATGCACTGGCTCATCCATTCACAAAATATTTATTGAGCATTTGGTCTGTGCCAGGCGTTGTTCTAAGCACCAGGGATCTCACATATTAGTGAGCAAAACAGAGGACCCTGCCTTTGTGGAGCCTTCATCTAGCTCGGGGAGCAGACACTTATCAAATAAGTTAAGGATGCTGTATGGCAGAAGGTGGTGAGCACCACAGAGAAGAATCCAGCAGGGAAGGGGGATGGGGGATGTGGAGTGCCTGGTGAGGCTTAAATTAAGTAGGCTGGGTCAGGAAAGGCCTCACTGAGGGGGGTGACATTGAAATAAAGACCTGAAGGAGGCAAGAAAGTTACCAGGGGAGGAGGACATTCTGAGGAAAGGGAACAACTAGGACAAAAGCCTGGAAGCAGGACAGCAGAAGGGTTCTGTGGCCAGAACGGTTCCTGAGGGGAGGGTGGAAGATGGGTCCTGAGAAACAACTGGGAGACGCTGGTCCCTGGAGGGTCTGGAGGGTCATGGTAAAGACTTTGGCTTTCAGAGCCTTTCTCGACCAGGGTTCGTCTCAGCCAGAGAACACAGAGATGATGGGATTCTTTTTTAACTTCTCCCAAGAAATAGAAGCAACTTAGATGCCTGGGGAAGTTGATTCATTGTGTACGACGGGTGCTCGGGAGCTTCAGGGCTCAGTTCTCTCTGGAGCCCTGCTTGAGAAAGGCTGCCGTGGGGTTCATGGGGGAGACGAGTGCAGGTTCGGGGTATCAGCGAAGGGTTGGACGTGAGCTGTTGGGGGAAAAGGAGCAGAGGCGCATGCGCAGCTGGCGGGACGCGGCGGTCCTTCGTGGGTCCGGGCGCCTCCTGCGTGCGCAGGTCTGTGCGCTGGGGCTAGGCCGGTGAACCACACAGATAAGGATCCCTTCCCTGGGGGAGCTGATGTTCTGTGAGTCGACCTCTTGCCTGAAGCCCGACGCGGTAAAGACAGAGGACAGGGTTAGACATATGAGAGTTCTCTGAAAAGCAGGACTTGTCCCCCTTCCCAAAGACGGGGACACCAAGGCTCCGTGGAGCTCTCTGTGGCTGCCTCACAGGCCGCCCTTCTTCCTTTGCGTTCCTGTGGCCCGGGGTCCGGGGTCCAGCCCTTACCCTCGGGGGTGGGGGGCTCTCCGAGGAGGTCTGAGGGCCGTTTCGGGGAACCCGGGCGGGGGGGGACGTCGCCAGGAGCCGACCGCCTTCCCCAACCCCCGCCGTCTCTCCCGGCAGCGGCTGATCGACAAGACCAAGGTGACCTATCTGAAGTGGCTGCCTGAGTCCGAGAGCCTGTTCCTGGCCTCGCACGCCAGCGGCCACCTGTACCTGTACAACGTCAGCCACCCGTGCGCCTCGGCCCCGCCCCAGTACAGCCTGCTGAAGCAGGGCGAGGGCTTCGCCGTCTACGCGGCCAAGAGCAAGGCGCCCCGCAACCCGCTGGCCAAGTGGGCGGTGGGCGAGGGGCCCCTCAACGAGTTTGCCTTCTCGCCCGACGGCCGGCACCTGGCCTGCGTCAGCCAGGACGGCTGCCTGCGCGTCTTCCACTTCGACTCCATGCTCCTGCGGGGGCTCATGAAGAGCTACTTTGGGGGCCTGCTGTGTGTGTGCTGGAGCCCTGACGGGCGCTATGTCGTGACGGGGGGCGAAGATGACCTGGTCACCGTGTGGTCCTTCACCGAGGGCCGTGTGGTGGCCCGAGGCCACGGCCACAAGTCCTGGGTCAACGCTGTGGCCTTTGACCCCTACACCACGAGGGCCGAGGAGGCGGCAGCGGCCAGCGGTGACGGGGAGCGGAGCGGCGAGGAGGAGGAGGAGGAGGAAGAGGAGGAGGAGCCTGAGGCAGGGGGCACAGGCTCGGGCGGGGGAGCCCCCCTCTCCCCGCTGCCCAAAGCCGGCCCCATCACCTACCGCTTCGGCTCGGCCGGCCAGGACACGCAGTTCTGCCTGTGGGACCTCACTGAAGACGTGCTTTACCCCCACCCGCCCCTGGCCCGCACCCGCACCCTCCCTGGCACGCCTGGCACCACGCCACCCGCCAACAGCAGCTCTCGCGGGGGCGAGCCCGGCCCCGGCCCCCTGCCCCGCTCACTGTCCCGCTCCAACAGCCTTCCACACCCGGCAGGCAGTGGCAAGGCGGGCGGCGCGGGCGCCACGACTGAGCCTGGCACACCGTTCAGCATCGGCCGCTTTGCCACGCTCACGCTGCAGGAGCGGCGGGACCGGGGGTCAGAGAAAGAGCACAAGCGCTACCACAGCCTCGGCAACATCAGCCGGGGCGGGGGCGGCGGCGGCGGCGGCGGGGGCGGCGGCGGCGGCGGCGGCGGCGGCGGGGACAAGCCCAGCGGCCCCGCCCCCCGCAGCCGGCTGGACCCAGCCAAGGTGCTGGGCACCGCGCTGTGCCCGCGCATCCACGAGGTGCCCCTGCTCGAGCCCCTGGTGTGCAAGAAGATCGCCCAGGAGCGGCTCACGGTCCTCCTCTTCCTGGAGGACTGTATCATCACCGCCTGCCAGGAGGGCCTCATCTGTACCTGGGCCCGGCCAGGCAAGGCGGTGAGTGGCCCCATGCCGGCTGACCCAGGGCCCAGGAGGAGGCGGGCGTGGGGAGGAGGGTTTGTCACAGTCATAGCCTTTGGCCCTGTGGGATGAGGGGAAGCCAGGGAAATGTTAGCATCCCAGAGCAAGACTTCTCGGATCTTAGGGTACCAGGCTTCTAGAACTCTCCGTGGCAGCAGAGAGAGGGTTGGGTAGAAGAGACAGCCAGGAGTGGTGAGGGCTGTGGCCAGCTATCTGAAGGGCGGCCAGTGGGCCCAGCACAGCCGGGCCTTATCACTTGTCACTCGAAGCCAAGTCTGTGTTTCTACGGGACATACAATTTGTGAATTGTGAAACTGTTTGAATAATGTGGGTCAAATTCTGGGGGCAACACTGAGCCTATGGGCCTGCCTTCCGGCCTGGATCTCAGACTCTGGAGCCCCAGCTCATGGAATCCCAGCTTGGGTTCCGGGGCTGCTCCCTGTGCGACCTTGGGCAAGTCACCGCTCCTTGCTGACCTCTGTCACCTCTTAGGGAGCCTTGAAGGTGGGTGGTAGATGGACGTGTCCACCTCCTGGGGGAGCGCTGGGGTTTCAGGAAGACCCCATTAGGGGGGAGCACAGGCCTGGCGCCTTCCATCTTTGGAGCTCTTGTCTCAGAGGGCTCAGCTCCACAGGGTTTGGGCTTGTGTGCCTGGGTTGCTAGGCCTGAGGCCCGTGGCTTGGTTCCCTCAAAGAGTGGTTTTAGAATTGTAGGGTCTTGAATTCTTAGAACTCTATGACACAGTCTCAGATGCAGGGTCATTGGGATTTGGGGAGTCTGGGGAGTCCTGAAAGAGACCCCTCTATCTCCCTAGTTCACAGACGAGGAGGCCGAGGCCCAGACAGGGGAAGGAAGTTGGCCCAGGTCACCCAGCAAGTCAGTGGTAGAGGTAGGCTTGTCCCTGAGTTCTCTCCCCCTCACCCCCCCAGTCGGGGCCCCGAGTTCCCCCCTATCCTCTCCACCCCTACCCCCATCCTCTCTGCTCAGGACCACCCAAGCGCTCTAATTATTGTCCAAGAGTGCTGCCTGCGGGGCCAGGGAAACTAGTGGAGCTGGGAGTTCCCGACCTAGAGCAGCGGCCTCTGTCTGGGGGGCTCTGGGGTGGACTGAAGGGCAAGGCCAGGGTGGCAGCTGCCTTAGGGACTCCGGGCTGGCTCCCTCCCCACGGGACTGGTGGGAGCCCCAGGCGGTCTCTAACCCTCCTGTCTCCCCTCTCGTCTTCCCCAGGGCATCTCCTCCCAACCAGGCAACTCCCCGAGCGGCACAGTGGTGTGAAGCCATGGATGTCGGGGTTCCCCCCCAGTGTTCCCCGCCTCCTAGCCATAACCCTCCCGCTGACCTCACGGATCAACGTATTAACAAGACTAACCATGACGGATGGACTGCTCCAGTCCCTTGCCCTGCACAAATTTGGGGGTCAGAGGGTCCCCCAGACTGGCCCAGACACTCGGGGGGATGTAGTGGCCCATGTGGCCTCAGCCTTGTCCCCACCCACTGCCAAGTACAATGACCCCTTCCTCTGAAACATCAGTGTTCACCTCATCCCTGTCCCCAGCATGTGACTGGTCACTCCTGGGGGAGAGACTCCCCGCCCACAAGCTCTGCAGTGTGCCCCTCCTCTTGTGGGCAGGGCTGGGGCGGCCCACCCCTCCCCTGGCCCCTACCCTGCCCTTGCTGTTGTTTGTGCTTTTGAAGAGTGTTAAATTATGGAAGCCCCTCGGGGCCCTCCCTGTCCCCCAGGACCTCTTATTTATACTAAAGTTCCCTGTTTTCACAGCGTCTCTGGTCCCTTCCGGGAGGTGTGGAGGGAGGGAGCGCGCGCTTTAGCAGCAGTCCTAGAACCCAGCTACTAACACCGAACGAAGAGAGGCCCTGCCTGTCCCCGACCCGGTGCCCTCCCTGCTCCGTTCTCATAGCCGGAAAAGCTGAAGGTTGGAGGAGGGACTCACTCAGGGCACACAGCTGATGGGTCACTAAGCCGCCAGCCCTCCAGCCCTGAGCCCCCAGACCCCCCAACTCCGGAGGAAAGAGTGCCACCGGGGCCTCCTTCCCAGTTTGAAAGTGCCCGAACTGTCCAGGTCAGATACCGGTGGGGGGTGGGGGGCTGCCCAGATGGGTCCCCCAGGGAGCTCCTGAGGTGCCCAAAATGCACCCTAAGGCTTGGCCTCCCGCTGCCTCAGGCCTCCAGGCTCACAGGGCGCAGGCGTCCAGAGCCAGCTGGAGACCATGGATTCCTCCCGGAGCTCTGTCCACCCCTGCCGAGAACAACGAAAATCCCTCCTGGCTGGCTCTCCGGAGCTGCAGGGAGGGGTGTCTTCCCCCTCTGCCCTCCACCCCCCGAAATGTTTCTGTTTCTAATCCTAGCCTGGGCAGGAATGTGGCTGTGCGGCCAGGGTCCAAGGAGCTATTTTGGGGGCTCCTTTGCCTCCCCCAGGCTTTGGCCAGTGGGTCACCCCTGGTCCTGGCTCCTGAGGGCCTCCCTTCCCCATTCTCTCACCACCCCTTCCCCACCTCCTGCCAAAAAAAAGTCAGTGGAAAGCAGAGGGCCTGAGGGCTAAATTTAAACCGTCCCAAAGTCTGAATCCGTGGCTGAGTCACCCGTGAAGCTTCCCTGGCCTCCTGCCCCCCCTTCCCAGGCCTCACCCCTTTCTCCCCCACCCCAATTCCAGGGCTTGAGAAGGGTGTTACCCGATCATTCTGAACCTTAATTGGCCCCCTCAGAATGGGAGGGCTCATCTTTGGCATCTGGCACACCTGTAGCTACTAATGTGCTCCTCCTTTTTTGGGGGGCAGGCATCGTGGGAGAGTTGAGGTTCTCCACCCCCCCATCTCACACTGACGCGTTCTGAGGGGCCCTGGCAGGAGGGAGTTGGGGGGCCTGGCTCGTAAGGGGTTAAGGCTGGGAGGCGGGAGGGGGCCGTCCCGAGGGGTGGGGAGAAGGGGAGGAGGCCTCAGCTGCGGAGAGAAGTGGCCAGAGAGGCCCAGGGGACAGCCAGGGACAGGCAGACATGCAGCCAGAGCCCCGAGGCCTGGACAGGGGCTGCCAGGCCCTGTGACTGGAGGACCCCGAGCCCCTGGCCCGGGGAGGGGGCCATGGTGCTGCCTGCCCGACATGTCAGCCGAGGTGCGGCTGAGGCGGCTCCAGCAGCTGGTGCTGGACCCTGGCTTCCTGGGGCTGGAGCCCCTGCTCGACCTTCTCCTGGGCGTCCACCAGGAGCTGGGTGCCTCCGACCTGGCCCAGGACAAGTATGTGGCCGACTTCTTGCAGTGGGGTGAGTGCCTGCCGTCGTGGGTGCCACAGATTGGGGGGCGGTAGGGGCAGGGCAGAGGCAGGAGATGGGGCTGGGCATCGGGGCTGATAGTTGGGGTCAAGATGGACGTGGGAGAGCCTCCGACTCAGGAGCCCGGAACTTGGCCCTGGGTCCTAGGGTGGCATGTCCCTACCCCTGTGCCACCCTGGCAGGGCAGGCTGGGGTCAGCAGAGGCTAGGGCAGCCGTGACTCCGAACCGTGCGTGACCTGGGAGCCATGGTAGGCTGGACTGGGCATGGCCTTCTGTGGTCCTTCTGTACCCCCTCCCCAAGGTCTAGGCCTAGGGACATGCTGGGAGCCCTGGATCCTAGGACCGCCCCCACCACCACCAAGATGGGCCCCGTGGCTCTCCACCCTGGCCTCCCAGAGCACAGAGGCAGGCGGAAGGGACAGCATGGGGCAGCTGCCAGGGGTGCGGCCAGTGGGCAGGTGTTCGGCGCCAGCGTCTCCCGCTGCCCCAACAGGTGCCCAGGCACTGGGAGGGTGCGGCCACTCAGGCCCTGGGGGAGAACTGGCTCCGCAGACAGGCGGCACCCAGCACCCCCCACCCCCTGGATGGAGGAGGGACAATTTCGGGTTCTTCTGGGTGTGCCCACTTTCTAGGGTCTGGCCAACCCCCCTCCACCAGCCCTGGTCTGTCTAGTTTGCATGGGGCAGCTCCCCAAGTCCCTGGTTCTCATGACTTCTGACCTTCCAGCTCTCCCACAGTCCCTTCTGGCCAGGTCTTTCCCTGGAGACAGGTCTGAAGGGAAGATGCTTCCCCCTCTGGCCTTGTCTGCCTCCGGCCCTCCTCCACCCCAGGACTCAGGCTCACTTGGTTTTCCGTCTCTCTGACACCCTGCCACTCTGTCCTTGCACTGGTTTGTCCCTCAGTGGCTTGCACTCGGTCCTGGGGCTCTGTATGTCTCTGTCTCTCTGCCTCTCCGCTCTCCCTCGTTTCTTGTGTTCATCTCTTTTTGACCCAGGCCTCGTTCCTGTCCCTCCCATTTCGCAGATAGGAAGGTGGAGACCAAAGGCCGGGCCACTCAGCCCCTGGAAGAACTTTCTCCCCGCCTCCCCCAGTCCTTAGTAACTCTCTCAGCCCTGATTTTGCAGAGCGTGAAGTTGAGCTAGCAGGGTAAACTGAGCCCGGAGCTGGGGGCAGGGGTCTGGGCTCTCCCGTAAGGAGCACTCCTTTTGTGGCCTGAGCAGCATCCTGCGGCCCCTCCCCTGCTAGGCTGCCCGGGGCGGGGGAGGGGGCCTGGGTTCCTGCTGCCTTAAAAGGGCTCAACATCTTGGCTCTCTCCTCCCTCCCCCGTCCTGGGCCCTGGCTGGTTCTTCCCTGCCGGGCCCACTCTCCCGAACCTCGAAACTCATGGGGGCCTGTCTCTCCCTGCCATAGCCCACTCTATCTCCCCTTACTTTCACTTGAATCCGTCCCTCTCTCTGTCCTGCCTCCCAAGTCCCCAGCGTCCTCCCTCTCCCTGTGCCCTTGCATCCCCTCCACCTGGGCCTTCCCCTCCCTACCTGCTGTAGGACCTCGGGCCAACCTCTTCACCCATCTGAGCCAAGTAAAGGCCTCCCGTAAACGAGGGGCCTCCAGTAAATGATGGGCCTCCTGTAAATGAGGGGTGACGAAAGAAGCCCTCTTCCTGGAGTTGAGGACAGAGCGAATACACTAGAGCTTGGAATTTGGGTCCATGCTGGCTTTGTCTTCCCTCTCCTGTTCCCTCTCAGGGCCCCATCCCCAAATCCAGTGTTTCCCAAAGTGTAGTCCAAAGCCACCAGCCTCTAAACCTGGAGGTGCTGGACTAAACTGAATGTTCCAGGACAGGACCTGAGACAGACTGAGAACCCGGGTGTGGGCCTGGCAGTCCCACTCCCAGCCAGAGTAGGGGTGGGGACTGAAGCTCAGGAGACCCTAAGGCCTGGGAACTCACATCTTCTGTTCTTCAGAGCCTCCCTTTCCCAGAGCCCGCCCTCTCCACCTGCACCCACTAGAGCCCCTCTGGCCCAATGCCCTTCCCAAAAGGGGTTCCTCAGGCATCCCACCTTTTTTTCTGTAGGAGGGCAGTTTGGGGTCCCCAAAACTTCACACAGTGTTTTTGCGGGGAAGCCTTTGGGAGGCTGACAGTCCTAGGAGAGAGACAGAGAGAGGAGAGAACAAGGGACAGAGGAGACCGAGGAGGGACAGAGAGGGGGAGACTGAGGGACAGAGGGTGGGACTTCCTCCCGTCTCCAGTGTCAATCCCAGTTACCCTCGGTTCTCACCTACCCCGCCCCCCAGTGGAGCCCATCGCGGCGAGGCTTAAGGAGGCCCGACTGCAGAGGGATGACTTCGAGATTCTGAAGGTGATCGGACGCGGGGCGTTCAGTGAGGTGAGCCTTGAGCGGTGGCTGCAGCTCCGCGGAGCAGGGGACGCGACTTTTCGTGCAGTGGGCGGGACCCAGGGGTTTGGGGCGGGACCTTAGAAATTGATGAATGACTTGAGCTGAGAAAGCCTACACCAGCCGGGCGGGGGCGGGGCCTGAGGTCGCTGGGCGTGGCGTTAATCGTGGGGCGGAGCCACGAGTAGGTTGTGTTATGGGTGGAGTCCAGCCTCGGCGAGCCCGCGTGTTTCCCCCGCCACCTCCGCCCCCAGTCACCCTGTTTCGGCCTTCAGGTGGCGGTGGTGAAGATGAAGCAGACGGGCCAGGTGTATGCCATGAAGATCATGAATAAATGGGACATGCTGAAGAGAGGCGAGGTGAGGGCGGGGGCCGGATGTGCAGGGCGCTAGAATTACCCACCCCCGCTCCGGCTCCGGGCCGCTTCAGTGCCTCCGGTTGCCCCGCAGGTGTCGTGCTTCCGGGAAGAGAGGGATGTGTTGGTGAACGGGGACCGGCGCTGGATCACGGAGCTGCACTTCGCCTTCCAGGATGAGAACTACTTGGTGAGCCCCAGACCCGGGGGGACTAGGGAGACGGATCCCGATCCCGAGGCCGTCAGTGAACGAGGCGGGGTCAGGGAGAAATTCTAGGCTGTCTCGAAATGGCAGCGGTGTCTCTGGGTGTGGGAGGAATTGGTCTTCCTTTCCCGGGATGGGAGATGCCCCTTATAGCTCTTTTCTCGGGCTGATTCCAGAGGACCCTGTAAAGATGCCACCGTCGGGGTGCGGGGGGCGGATCTCTTACCTGGACTGGGATAGCTCTGTACAATCTATGTGGGGGCCCCTGGGCAGGGTATTTAGGCTCTGTACTTTGGGCACTGGGAGCTCTCTGGGCTCTCTTTCCCCCTCTCTCTTTCTGTCCAGTGACATCCTGGGAGAATTAGGTTTTGGCGGGGGGAGTGTCTCTGATTTGGCCTGGGAGATCTCTTGGGCTCTCTTGGGGCTGGGGCTACGGGGTCTCTGCCCAGAGATGGAGCATCTGCGGGAGTCTTTGTCCCGGGCTATTGTCAGCGCCGAGGGGTGCGACTGACCCCCCCCATGACACGTCCCCTGCCAGTACCTGGTCATGGAGTACTACGTGGGCGGGGACCTGCTAACGCTGCTGAGCAAGTTTGGGGAGCGGATCCCGGCCGAAATGGCGCGCTTCTATCTGGCCGAGATTGTCATGGCCATAGACTCAGTGCACCGGCTGGGCTATGTACACAGGTGGGCGCAGCAGGGGCTGAGGGGCGGGGGCTGAGGGCGGGGCCCAGAGAGGGAAAGCAAAAGTTGCACCCGGGTAGGGGGCAGGGTACCGCCAAGGTTGGAGCCAGAGGGGGCGGGGCCTGGAGAGGGACCTCTTTGGTTGGGACCACTGGGGACAGGGACAGAGGAGTGGGGTTCAGAATTGCAGAATCCCCTAAGGGGGGGACCGCAATCGGAGAGCATGGTCCCTAAGAGGGTGGGGACCCGAGGCCGTGCTGTCTGGAGGGGTGGAGCCTGGTGAGATGGATGGAGGGAGGCTCACTTATCCCCCCACCCTCTTCTTCCGTTTGCGCAGGGACATCAAACCCGACAACATCCTACTGGACCGCTGCGGCCACATCCGTTTGGCCGACTTTGGCTCCTGCCTCAAGTTGCGGGCAGACGGAACGGTGAGCCGTGCGGGGCGCTGCTTCGAGCAGCTCGGACCACCAAAGAGGAGTGGGGTCAGGTGGGGGGACCGGAAGTGCAGAGTGTGGGGGTGGGGCTGAGGCGCACAGGTAGAGTTAGGGTGGGGGCACAACCAGATTTGGAGTGGGAAAGAGAAGGAGGGCACCCACGCCTAAGTGCGTGAGCGGCTCCGGGTTAGAGCAGGCAAGGGGAGGGACTAAGCCCTCGGGGCGTGGTTGGGAGGGGCGGGGCCAGAGCTCGGAGGGGCGGGACCGAGCCCAGCTCTGCACCTTTTGGCTCAGGTGCGGTCGCTGGTGGCTGTGGGCACCCCGGACTACTTGTCCCCCGAGATCCTGCAGGCCGTGGGTGGCGGGCCCGGGATGGGCAGCTATGGGCCCGAGTGTGACTGGTGGGCGCTGGGAGTGTTCGCCTATGAAATGTTCTACGGGCAGACGCCCTTCTACGCCGACTCCACGGCTGAGACCTACGGCAAGATCGTGCACTACAAGGTGAGCACGGCCAGAGGAACCCCTGATCTCCCTCCACGCATACTGACAGGCTAACGTCCCCCGCTTTCCCTCTCCCTCTGGCAGGAGCACCTGTCTCTACCCCTGACCGATGCAGGGGTCCCTGAGGAGGCTCGAGACCTCATCCAGCAGCTGCTGTGTCCCCCTGAGATGCGGCTGGGCCGGGACGGAGCAGGTGATTTCCAGAATCATCCTTTTTTCTTTGGCCTTGACTGGGACGGTCTTCGAGACAGCGTGCCCCCTTTTACGCCGGATTTTGAGGGTGCCACTGACACGTGCAACTTCGATGTGGTGGAAGACGGGCTCACTGCCATGGTGAGCGGGGGCGGGGTAGGTACCTGCGACCCCTGCTGGGCAGAGGGTATTCCTGCCCCCCCCCCCAATCCCTTACCCAGAAAGTTGGGCTTAGAATAGTACCCATCTCTTGGGGTCTTGAAATCATCCCTCCCCCAGGGCACCTGCTGTGTGCCCGCCCAGTGCTGTGAACCCAGCGGTGACCTGGATTCCCAGTCCAGTGGGGAACATAGACTGGTCCCCAGACAACGATGCCACAGAGAGGGGGGGGGGTGAACAGGGGAGGGCCAGGGGGTGGGGCTCCTGACCCAGCATGGAAAGTCCTGGAGGGCTTCCTGGAGGAGGCACTATTTGAGCTGAGACCTGGAGGGATGAGAAGTGAGAGGCAGGAAAGCACCACAGTGCGGAGGAATCTCTCTTAGGCCATCTCTCTCTCAACAAACTATCCTGAGTGAGCGCATGTTCAGCCTGGGTGCCCTTGTGCCAGGTGCTGCTAGGGACACAGAGGGACCAAGCCAGCCCTAGCCCCTGCCCTCATCCACTTACAACCTGGAGAAGTATATAATTACAGCATGGAGAGTACCCCAAGGGGAGCCGCAGGACACAATGAAAGAAAACGAGGGAGGGGCCACTTAAGATAGTGGGAGCGGGTATTTAAAACCAGACTGGGAAGGGGCGAAGGACCAGCTCTGACAAGCACAGGTCACTCCACATCTGTTTCTCTTGTATAGGAGACGCTGACGGACATGCGGGAAGGCATGCCACTGGGGGTCCACCTGCCGTTTGTGGGCTACTCCTACTCCTGCATGGCCCTCAGGTAGGCAGTGCCCCTGGGCAGCCTGTGAGGAGCGGGCCAGTGGTGCCAGCCTCCACAGGTCCCGGGATGCTGTCCAGGGGCACCCAGTAGAATTGCAGGATCAATCTTGGAACTTTCCTGCCTTGGGACCACGGACTATTAGGAGTCCAGAGATGTAGGACCTTAAAATCTCAGACCATGAGTACTGTGAAATTTTAGATTCAGTTGTAAAACCTCAGAGCCAAAGACTCGGCCTTCCAGAATCTTCCAACCTTCCACTTTCAGATTTCTAGTACAGTCATAGGACCTCAGAATCTTAGAAAATAAGTTTAGAATTTCTAAATTGATCTTAAAAGAATACAAACTCATCGAATCACTCATAACCATAAAGCCTTTTTTTTTTAAGATTTATTTATTTATTTGACAGAGAGAGAGACACAGCGAGAGGGGGAACACAAGCAGGGGGAGGGGGAGAGGGAGAAGCAGGCTTCCCGCTGAGCAGGGAGCCCAACGCGGGGCTCGATCCCAGAACTCTGGAATCATGACCTGAGCTGAATGCAGATGCTTAACGACTGAGCCACCCAGGTGCCCCAAAGCCTTTTTTTTTTTTTTTCAGATTTTATTTATTTATTTGTCAGAGAGAGTAGAGAGCGAGCACAAGCAGGGGGAGCTGCAAGCAGAGGGAGAAGCAAGCTCCCCACTGAGCAGGGAGCCAGATGCAGGACTCGAACCCAGGACCCTGGGATCATGACCTGAGCCGAAGGCAGATGCTTAACCAACTGAGCCACCCAGGCACCCCACAAATGCCATTTCTTACCATGAATGAACAACAGCATGAGCCATTGTGCAGTATTCTCCTCACTGGGCGGGTCGGGACTCAATCAGTCCATCTCTGTTATAACCCAAGCTGGATGAATAGCTGCGGCTTGGTCTCCATGCTCACCAGGCTCATCAGGCCCTTGACACCTGTTTCCACGAGAGGGAGCATTGGATTGGAGGCAACATCCACTTTTATTGCAATTTCATATTCCCAGGGAGAGCGTGACCTCTTCCCAGCAGCTGGGGATGGTGGGGGCAGGGGGCTGATGACCAGAAAAAGACCGTATCTTGGGAGGTGGCTTAGAGTTGGGTGGGATCCCCCCTCACTGTCCTGACGTCTAAAGGAGAGGGGTCTGCAAAGGTCACATGGAGAGGGAGGAGATGAGCAGACCCCAGAGCATGGGTATCTGGAGCCCAGGATCTGCCAGAAGGTGCAGAGAGGCCAGCTCCCAGGCCCATGAGGCCATGCGAAGGGCAGGCCTTTACTAACAAGAAGGGGACCGGTCACACCAACCTGGCAATCAGTTCCCTTCTCTTTGTCCCTCCCCCTCCTCACACTGGGGGTTCTTCAGGGTCTGGCTCTCCCATGGCCACAGGAGAGGGAGTCCTGGCTCTACATCCAGGGGCGGGGCAACCTCTCGAGGGGGCCCAGCTCTCCCTCCCCTTGCCCTGTTCCTCTCCCCAGGGACGAGGAGGCCCCAGGCCCCACGGCCATGGAACTGGAGGCCGAGCCATTGCCTGAGCCAACTGTGCAAGCACCCAGCCCAGAGGCCACAGTGCCCCCACTGGAGGAAACAGTGAGTCTTTGGAGGAGGAGGTCAGTCAGGGACGAATGGGCAAGAAAGGCAAGGGCTTCCGGGGTCTTGCATGCTGTGGAGCGCTAAGCCCTCTGGGAGCTCACTTGACAGAAAGGGACAGACAACACAGTAGAGGCAAAGTTACTTCAGCCAGAAACAATCCCTATGAAGACACTAAAACCGGCCATTGTGTGTGGGAGGAGGGGACTCTGGGAAGGGACAACACCGAAGAGAAGGAGGAGGAGGACCATCCATGGGAAGAAAAGGACCCACTCACTGGTCAGCTGACAGAACTTCAAGGCAAAGGTTTATTCTCGAACAGGAAAGGAGGGCGGGAAGGCTGACTTGTTCCAGGAGGAGGCTGGAGGAGGCTGAGGGGAGCCGAGACTGAGGCCATCAGGAAACAAACCAAACAGGGCCTTTTGGTGAGGCAGGCCTTCCCCTGAGGGCGCTGAGGGGCTGGAGAGAAAGAGAAGGCCGTGGTCAAGTTGGGTTAGAGTTTTAGGACCAGTCCTTTGGTTCCTGTGTGTGGAAGGTGGGTGGGAAAGGCCCAGACCAGGGGCTGGGGTTAGTTAGGGAAGGAGGAGACTTGGGTCACTGCAGGAGCTGTGAGGATTCCCAGAGATCTAGAGGACAGGGCGGGGTGGGGGTCGGGGTCCCAGCCTAGAACCTGTGCCCAGGTCTTGGGTGCCGCAGGAGCCAAAGGCCGCCCTAAGCGCGTCCCGCCCGCAGGCTGAAGCGGCGGTTCCGGAGGCCATTCCAGCCTCGGCGGAGGCCCGGGAGGCCCAGGTGACGCTGCGGGAGCTCCAGGAGGCCCTGGAGGAGGAGGTGCTTACACGGCAGAGCCTGAGCCGGGAGCTGGAGGCCATCCGCACAGCTAACCAGAGCTTTGCCAGGTCGGGGTCGGGGCGCAGGGGCCTCTCTACCGCCAGCAGCCTGTCTCGCTCGGGTCCGGGCGCGCTCACGGTCTTTTCCTTTTCCTCCCCGCAGTCAGCTCCGTGAGGCCGAGGCCCGGAACCGAGACCTGGAGGCGCACGTCCAGCAGCTGCAGGAGCGGATGGAGCTGCTGCAGGCCGGGGGAGACGCAGGCGAGTCCCTCAGGCGTCCCCTTTCCCGAGGGCGACGGGGCGGGGGGGGGG